TATAAAATGTTAAATTTCTTAAACATTAAAGCCTAATATGCTAAGTTTTTCTCTTATAAATATGAATACCTTATTCCCTTTTATATATATCTTTAAATTCTTATTTCTTTATATAAATATTTAAATTTACATTTGAAATTTAAGTTCAGAAGAATAACAACTTTATAAAATAAATCATTTCTTAATCTCCATGAATCTAACCGTATTTATCTTTCACATTATTTGTATTTTAAAGTATACAGATAATTCTGTACATCTTCTGGGACTTTTACCTATTGAATTTTGTAAAAATAATTTAATTATCTATCGCCAAAAAAGGAAAAGAAATGGAAAAACAGCAACAAAATTTAAGGCCTGCTGGCGTATTGATTAATTACGAGTTTATTTTGGGGCAGGCTCAAGGCGTTCGAGTTCTCGTTAGTCCCTCGTCCTTTATGAGTTCCCTCTCCACCCCTCTCCATCCCGATTGTTAAATATAATATATAATATCTATACACATTTAGCTGAAGTTCAATGACTACCAGCAACGAAGCTCCACTCAAGCGTGAATTATTGTGAGAGCCAGCCAGGCCCAAAGGCCCCCAGTTCCAGTTCCAGTTCCATTCCTAGTCTCAGTCCCAAGTTGGGCGGAAATGTCACAAAAGAGTTAAATAATGCATGGCATGGAGGGTCTACCAGGGGTTAAGGGTTCGAATGGGTTAAGAGTGGAGCCCCCGTGTGCGCAACAGATGATTGCCATCAATGAAGATTATGTAAATCAAATTGTCCAAGAAATATGAAATGGGGCATGCAACACGGCAAATGGCGCCCACAATTATGGAAGTAATTAAAATCGGGGGGGCGCGAAGTGTATGCATATATAAATATATATATTATTCTCAAGATGGAAAGGAGAAAAGTACAGATATTTAAACATTTATTTGGCCTAATTTCGGTGGCATTATTTAAACATCTGTCAGCTTATTTAATTAAGCCAGTTTGAAGGAATAATTTATAGCTCTAAAGCAAATAATTAAGCCGGTTTCGATAAATATTCAATAGCTTTAAATCAAATACAAAATATGTTGCATTTAAATAATTATTATAAATATTTCCACATTATTAAATACAAATGATAAATTATTTAAAACATTTTATTTAAAGGAGTTTGTTATAGCTGAGATTAGCTCCTGAGATTAACTTTTATTATAAGATCTTTACCTTATATATTTATTTCATTGTTTTACGGATTATTAAATATTTAATTCTTGATTAATTAATATATATATATTTTTTTAATACTCTACCTACAATTTAATCAAATTTTTTCACTATATATTTATGCATATTTAAAGCAATTTAAACTTTCGAGCAGGTGAACCTTTTCCCAGTTCCTTTAAAATCCGTAGACCCAAATGATTGAGGACGAGTCAGCTCAAGGCTCTTCCTGTGATAAATTAATACAACATTTTGCACTCACCCACACAGAATACACTCTCTCTCTCACACACACACACTTAGGGACACACTCACACGCACACTGATGGACCGGCGAGTGTGCCGCTGCCAAAGTACAGTTGCCTGCATTGTCAGCAGGTTCATTTCCGCTGTGGCCACACAGAAATGGCGTGCAAAATGCAAAACAATGGGCCAAAGTGAAGTAGTCCATGCACAGAGAGAAAATGGCTACTGATAACTAATGTAATTTATAGTTTTAAGTAGAAATATTATAAAATATTAAAGAGAAATAATAAATAAATTCATAATTTTAACTACAAATACTTTGTAATATTAAAGAGAAATAATAATACTTTTATCATATAAATATATAGTTTTAAATGCAAACTATATATATATTTGAAGAGATCAAATTTAACATAAACCAGGCACATATGGTAATTGGATTTTTGTTAAATTTCTATAAATTTCTTTCAGTGTCAGAAACTGAGGTAGTGGATCCCCCTGTTGGATAGGCAACATTAACACACGCGATGTGGGTCCGTGGGATCTGGATCTGTTGGAATTGTCAGCATTGTCGTCGGTGCCCATGGACAGCGACAATTGCATGTGTAATTTGTGTTTAGTGGGCTGGAAATATGGTAACGCCCCTCGTTAAATGTTCCAAACAAAAGAATTTCACCTGACAGCAGGTGGAGAGCAGGCTGGCTGCTTTAGGGGGTAAAATCTTCAGCAGACAGTAGGGATTTCTTCTTACAGATTTACAGCATTTAAATACTCGGAGATTTAAATTAAGCAATTAATGGAATAATTAGAAAAGTGATATTAAGCTGAGTACTACTCTACTATCTATTATAAAAAAGGAAGCATTAAATATAAATTAAACATTAAATAACAAAAATAAATCATGTATATATTTTGAATTATAAATTTCCAACAAAATTGGGACTCTTGACACAACACTGGCTTGCACTTAAAAAAGTATCTTACTGGAGTTAAATATTGCTACAAAAGTGAATAGAAATACTAACAGATAATTTGAAAAATAAATCAACGGGAAAAGATAAGAAGAATAATACATTCTGTAAATCTGTTAAGGTTTTCTGTTTTCAAGTGGACATGTTGTTGCCTCGTGCTGATCTTTCTCAAATATTTACAAGATGAAAAAGGTCTGTTTTCAATTTCTGGGCCTGGTAGAACCTAAACTCAGCTCAACTCAAACACGAGTTGGCTTTCTTTCATTTGATTAACCGCAGCTGTTGGGGTTATTTATCTTTTTTTTTTTGCTCCGTAATTGTTATTATTGATCATCGAGGTTTTTTTGTTTTCATAACCATTGTAACAAATACCCTTGCAGGGAATTATAATTTCAATAAATATAGAGGATCAGTAAGTATCTATCAACAGTAAGTAAGCATGATCACTAAGTATCTATAACCAGTAAGTAACTCTGAACAGTAATTAACTATGACCAGTAAGTATCTATGACCATTAATTAACTCTGAACAGTAAATATCTATGACCAGTAAGTATCTATGATAAGTAAGTAACAATGGTCAGTAATTATCTACGACCAGTAAGTATTGATGATCAGTTACTAACTTTGAACACTAGTAAACAATGACTTGCAACTTTTGTAACACAACATATGTCTGAGATGTGGCCAGCAGAAGTCACTTCGTTCCGGGGATGTTAGAACTAGTTGGGAATCATAAGCACAGATGTGCGATATATGTTTTCGAACAAATATAAGAGTAAGCAATAAAACTATGGAATAATTCTTCTATATAATTGTACTAGTATATAAATCGGAGCATGGCAAATCGGTGGACTATATTTATATATATATAACTCCCATAGGAACGATCGGAAAATTGAAGAAATAAGACTATGAGCAGTAAGTAACTCTGAATGGTAAGTATCTATAATGAGTAAGTAGCTATTAGCATTAATTAACTCTGAACAGTGAGTATCTATGACCAGTAAGTAACTCTGAACAGTGAGTATCTATGACCAGTAAGTATCTATGACCAGTAAGTAACTATGATCACCAAGTCTCTATGACCGGAAGTATGTATGATTAGTTACTAACTTTGAACACTAATAAACAATGACTTGCAACTTTTGTATCACAACACATGTCTGAGATGTGGCCAGCAGAAGTCACTTCGTTCCGGGGATGTTAGAACAAGTTGGGAATCATATGCACAGATGTGCCAGATTTGTTTTGGAACAAATTTAAGCTATTTAAATGAAACTAGGGAGTTATTCTTATATATAATTTTACTGGTATATAAGTCGGAGCATGGCGAATCGGTGGACTATATATATACATATATATAACTGCCATAAGAACAATCAGACGATTTATAGAACTATGTCAGTAATTAACTATGACCATTAAGTAACTCTGATCAGTAAGTATCAATGAACATTAAGTAACTCTGATCAGTAAGTATCAATGAACATTAAGTAACTCTGAACAGTAAGTATCTATGACCAGTAAGTATGTATTACCAGTAAGTACGATGATCAGTTACTAACTTTGAACACTAGTAAACAATGACTTGCAACTTTTGTAACACAACACATGCCTAAGACTTGGCTGGCAGAAGTCACTTCGTTCCGGGGACGTTAGAACCAATTGCGAATCATATGCACAGATGTGCGAGATTTGTTTTGGAACAAATTTAAGCTATTTAAATGAAACTAGGGAGTTATTCTTATATATAATTTTACTGGTATATAAGTCGGAGCATGGCGAATCGGTGGACTATATATATACATATATATAACTGCCATGGGAACAATCGGAGAATTTTAAGAAAACAAATTATAACTTTTATAGTTTTATAGTTGATAGAGCCATTTTATATTAATCTAGAATTTTTGTTAAGTTTTATAAAAATCGGTCGACTATATCATATAGCTGCCATGCAAAGGATCGTTAGAGGAAATTGCAAAACGGCGAATGAAATGAAAGTAGGCATTACTTTATTGTTTATTTATATAAGTATAAATAATTTATATTGCATTAATTTCCAGTGATCGAATTTCAATCTGCAAGGGTGTATAAACTTCGCCGTGCCGAAGTTAGCTTCCTTTCTTGTTTTCGTTTTGTGTTTATTTTTGGAGTTTGAGTTGTATGGAAAAATTGCGTGTGCCAGTTGTGTGAGCAAATCAAATGTGTAAAACACAATATTACTTATTAATTGTTTATGATCTACTATCATTTACACTTTTAAATATATTTTGTTTGATTTTGAGTGAGTCTTTAATTTAGCTAAATACAGAAATCAAAGAAAAAGTATCACCTGACTTAAAACTAACAAACTCTATACTACCAATGGCGTCATTCGCTGTAGACCAATCACCTCTCATCTCTATTGTTTTTCAATCGACATTTGTTTCTACAGATTTTTTGAGTATGTGTTTTTTTTTTGGTTAATTTTTTGCTATTGTGGCCTTCGCTTAAACAAATAATCTACCGCCTGGAATTTTGTCTATAAATTGGGATTCAACGTTAGACAAGCTGTCAGAGAAGATAGAAAAGGTCTCGTGAAATGAAGTTGAACAAGTTGTTGTTGAGTTTCCTGCTCCTCGGGCTCTTTGTAGCCACGATTTTGGGTGCCGATACTGATGCCGATACCAGTGCCGATGATACAAGTGCGGATATCGATAACGATAACGATAACGATGGTGAAGATGATACCGCGGCTGGAACTCCAACCACAGCACCCACCACGGGTAATTCCCCATCGTCGGGCTCGGGCAGCAATAATTCCGATGTAGATGATGGCTCCGATTTGGGACCTGAGGATTCCGATAATGATTCTGATGCCGATTCCGATGACGATTCTGATATCGATTCCAGTCCTACTCCTGCTCCCAGGCGGAGAAAGAGGAACAATGGTAACAACATCAGGAAGAAGGCCAACAACAATAGGCGTCGCAATAACAACAATAACAACAACAACAGAAGGCGACAGGCAGCTGCCAAGAGGCGCAGCAACACCAACAATCGCAGGACCAACAACAACAGCAATCGTCGCACCAACAACAACAGCAGGCGCCGCAACACCAACAATGCCAGGAGGCGTGGTTAAACTCCATTTTCCACATAAAAATCATTTATGAAATGAAAAAGAGTTCAGAGAATTTACACAATAAATATGTGTGTGTTTTTTTTTCCCCTTATTTATTTATTCCCATGATTTAAATAATTGATTGGTGTATTGGTGTGTGCATCGGCGGGACAACATTTTCGTTGCAATCCTTTTGTGCGCCAGCAGGGGGAGGACGTGGAAATGAATATTTCGTTGGAAATTAAAAAATGCAATCTGCCCTGCCGATTCAGGGAATTGCTAATATGCCAGAAGCGAACAGAAATATGCCAAAACGAATACAAATGCACCGTATTTGAAGGAAAATCAGGACAAAGAGAAGCCAGGACAACAAGTGTAGGGCTTAAAACATGTCACAAGAGCATCGTTAAAAAAATCGTAGAAAGAAATCGTAGGAAACAAAAAAAAAAAGAAAACAGCAACAGTGGGGTAAAGTAGAGCTTCTCAACAACAACAACAAATTTTTTAATAGACTATTCAGTAGTAAGTTTTGGCAACACTTTAACAACACTTCTCAACGGTTTTTTTTTTAATAAAACTATTCAAAAACAATTTCCAGCAAAACTTGATCAAGCTCCAGAAGCAATACAGAAACGCTTTCGTTCCCTTAACTAGTTTTGTAAAAACTAAATTCAACGTTTTAAGAATTTAAAAATTGAGGCTATAAAGAAATGATTTTATTTCACTATAACAAACAAATTCCCAAGTCACAAATGCATGTTACCTAATTCGGAGTGTTCTTTACATTCCATATTTTAAAGGAGACGTCCAAACTAAACGAGAAAGGCACATGACATGCCTCAAAAATAATCTGCAAAATATGCAACAATAAGTATTTGTGGAAATAGCAAACACAAAAAGCCCTCGCAAACAGGTGTCGGTATCGATGACTTATCAACTGTCTGGCATTTAAGACAGAGCCCACAATCAGTTCAATTATCCATTCGATTTTGAGAGTCATCGCAATAACTTATTCAAGCAAGAGGCGCACACACACAAGTCACACCCCCACTAAAGCCAAAGAGAAAGCCAAAGCCAAAGCCAAAGCCAAAGCCAAACCAAATCCAATTCACAATCTCAATACCAATCCCCTTTAGTCTCTCGTATTCGTTTACAGGGAAAATCAACAGCTTTTCTTCGTTGGCCGACTTCCTGCGGTGACTCAAAGTTTCTGTCACTTAAACTTTTCTAATTCGATTAAGTCGACTAACTGAAAATTGATTTCATTGTAAGTCGCTAATTGGCTGTCTTCATTGGCCTGGCCTAACTTTTCAGTTTGGTTTGGCTAGCTGGCTTAGTTGGCTGTGTTTTTCTGGCTAAAAACTGACGTTTGCTCCCGGTCTCTGTTAAATCAGCTAAGCATAGCAGTTGTGCAAACATTGCAAAAATAAGGCGAATAATTAGATAGACTTTGTTTTGTAAAATTTACCAACAAATTTATGTTTTTATAATTGCGGTTTTCGCTTTAATTGTAGTGAGTTTGAAGGCCAAGTGAGAAGTTTTTATAAAATTTAAATGCGGCTAATTAAAGTCGGGGAAGTAATAGTCTTGGAAACGATAGACTCGGAGGTTTGCGAAGGTTTTCAAATTGCTGAGATTGGTGGCATTATTTAGGCTTAAAATTGACTTAAAGTCATTTAAAATAAAGCCTAGAACTCCCTCTCTATCTATTTCAGTATGTCTATCTCTCTCTGTGCATCTATAGGGATGCCTCTTTCACTCCCTCTCCCTCTCTCTATCTCTCCCTCTCTCTCTCTCTCTCTCTCTATCTCTCCCTCTCTATCTATTTCAGTATGTCCATCTCTTTCTGTGCATCTATAGGGATGCTTCTTTCACTATCTCTTTCTCTGCTCATCTTTGGAGATAGCTCTTGCTCTCTCGCTCTCACTTTCTCTGTTTTCTTGTTTAATGGGACTGATTAAAGTCGGAGAATTAAGAGACTTGAAAACTCTAGACTCGAAGCTTTGAGAAGGTTGAGATTGATGGTATTTAGGTAGACTTAAAGTGATTTAAAATAAAGCCTAAATTAAGTCGGGTGTTGTCACCATTTCAAATATATATAAGTACATGTAGAAAACTCTAGACTTGAGGATTTGTTAGGGTTCTTGCTGAGATTGATTTTAGGATTTAAATCTGGTTAATACCTCCAATATTATCGAGACTTAAAACAAACTTAAAAAGATAAAGACTAGATATAGGCGGCTGTTGTAGCCATTTTAAAATATTAAGAACACATAGAAAAACTGTAGACAGGGCTTTGAAATGGTTTTTAAATTTGTGCGATCGCATTTGGGGGCATAATTCATACTTAAAGCTTAAAAGGCTTCAAAATCGATCTTCTTAATTTTAAATTTAAAATTTAAATCAAAATATATCCACACTCACCGAACATTGGCCAATGTGTGACGACGGTTCTTGAGATACCGACTATGATATTTCTGCAGATCCCCAATGGAACCCTGCTCCGCCTGCATTTTACTGGTGGGTAGCAACTGTGAGTTGCTTGGATGCGATGAGGCAAGCGCCGAGGCTGACGACGAGGTGAGCCGATGATGTGCAGCAACACTGGCGCTGCTACTATTCTGTGTTGTGGTGGCAGTGCCGCCGGTGGTGCTGCTCGAGGCTAAAGTCTCGTTTGAATTGCTACCAATGACAGTGGAGCCGCCGGCTGAGGATGAACCGCCTGTGGAACCGATTGGTGCAAGGACAATGCGTGACCAGCAGGATTTGTGCGGTTTACGGAACTTGAGCTTAATTCGCGGCGAGGGTGTAGAGGAAGTGCCTGCAAATTATAATTTATTGTTATTACAAAAAAGTATTTATTACATTTAAATTAAATCTTTTTACCTGCAATATACTCCTGAGCCTGCTGACTGCCTCCTGGCGCTGTACCGCCTGACGATGAGGTGGCCGAGGAGTGATGGACACTCTCGCAGCTGCCACAGTAGCCACTGGCTATGGTAATGGGAGGCAAATGTTGCTCCTGTTGCTGCTCCTGGTGCTGCTGCTCCTCCTTGAGGGATAACTGCCTGGAGTTGGCCTGCTCGGATTCCTCCTCCTCCTTGATGTGAGGAAGCGGCGAGGTCTGCGGCTGGCAGCTGCAACGCTGCTGATTCTGGTTGGGATTCTGATTCTGATTCGGACTCTGGCTGGGATTTGGATTTGGATTCGCACTCGTGCTCGGGCTCTGGGCCTGGCCTTGGGTGGGATTTGGCGTCTGATTGACGGGACTGTTGCTATATAGCGTCACCTGGCTGAGCAGGCTGCCGGTGCAGGCTGTGGTGGTTGCGGTGCTGGTAGTGACCAGGTGGGCAGGTGGCTGTGCCAGCTGCTGCTGGATCACGGCCGTGGGTGATACACTGGCGTCGCTCAGCGTTTCCGGTTCGGCACGACGGGCCACAAGGCCGCTGGCCAAACTGGCCGCTGCAATATCCGCTGCGCTCAGCTGCTGTCCTAGCAGCTCCTCCTCATCCACGTCGTTGATGAGGGTCTTGAGGGAGATGGGCGTGGTAACCGATGTATTGATGGTCTCTGCCAGTGAATGCTTCTTTTCGCCGCTGGTATATAAATCGGGATTGCTCAGCAGGCGTTCACGTTGCTGCTCTTCAGCACCTTCCTCCGATGGCAGCTTCTCCTGTTGCTGCTGTTGCTTTTGCTGCTGATTGTCCTGCGGCTTCTCTTGATAATTATCCGGCCTGGCCTTGAGCTCGTCCGGCGTTTGGGCGGGAGTTTGGGGCGGACTTGTGGCGGGGGCTGCGGAGCCGCCCCCGCGACAAGGGAGGCAACACCGAAACACTGTGCCACCGAAGCACTTTGTTCGCGCCTTTGACTTCCGCTTGCCGATCCCGCTTCCGCTTCCGCTACCGGATGCGCCTGTCCCGCTGCCGCTGCCGCTACCGCCGCCGCCGCCGCTCCCCCGGCCACTCCCGCTCCCACCGCCGCCGCCGCCCCCTCCAACGCCTCCACTGGCTGCCAGGCCGTTGGCGTTGCAGCTGCCACCTAAGCTCTGGCCGTTGCTGGTTCCGTTCCCGTTGCTACTGCCGCTGCCGCGATGCTGTAATTAAACACACAAAATTTCCAAATAAATAATTAAGCTAAATTATAGAAATTTTAAGAATTAATTTAAGGTTGCCCCCTCCACCTTGGCCGCATTTTTGTTAAACGAGAAACTTTGCGTGAATCGCGCCAAACGCATCATTCCCACTGCGATCAGGAGTTATCTCCTTGGCCACCAATGCATCTTTATTCAAGAGGAAGAGCTGCAAGTATAGGGAATACAAGAAAAAAAGAGTTAATAAGTATTTATGATTTAAGAGAACATAACAAAGTTTACAGATAAACTACATGAACATTACTAAATTAACTTATATCAAAGCTTATTTATAACTTCGGCTTTAATTTAATTAAGATCGAAAGACTATATCATAAAGAAACAATCATTAATTAAAGAGAAATGCAAAACTGTGAGCGTAATATTATAAACTCTTTCCCCGGCCTCGCTTTCTCCCGGGCTTGCTTTCTCCCGCTTCCTTTTTCACTACCTCTCTCTCTCTCCCTCTCTAACTATCTCTCTCTGTGCATCTATAGGGATGCCTCTTTCACTCTCTCTTTCTCTGCTCATCTCTGGAGATAGCCGTTGCTCTCTCGCTCCCACTTTCTCTGTTCTCTTTCCTCGGACAGTATAAATAGAGGCACCCATGTCGCTCGAACCTCAGTCTGTGCGCGGCCTCCCCGCTGTTTACATCTTTAGTGATAAGTGATAGTGATTGCCCTTCGACTTGAAATATATCACTAGGACAATGCAATACATCCGGATAACCAGGAAGAAGCTTCCTTCGATGTACGATGCCTAATCAGAAGTTACTCTTGGATAAAGAACTCAACACTGGGAAGGACTTAAGCAATGATGACTAAAGATAATTATTGCGGTAAGTCATAACTAGCACAATTATATTATGAATATAGATGATATAAAAGATGTATATGAGGTCTAGGTCTAGAATTAGCTGTGCTAGCTTTGAATTTATTTTCCAATTAATTTCCTTAATGCCATGGACCCCATTACTTAATTTTACTTTAAAGTGATACAGCAATTTTTATTAAGAGTGTATACTCAAAGTTAACAGCCTAACTTAATTATCATTTATTCAAGAATATTGATATCTTAATCTTGCAGAGTATTACAAATGAAGGAAATCCACTTGGAATTTTTATGTTTTTTATACCCTTTCAAGGGTATTTTAATGCATTTAAAAGATTGAAACTAAGTGAAGAAGTCATTTCCGACCCTATAAATCATATATATTCTTGATCAGCACCAAATGCTGATTCGATCTAGCCATCTTTGGTAGAAAAATATTTTTTTTTATTTTTTTCAAAATTTCTTAAGGGGTTTCATCGTTAAAATTATCAAAATTTGACCAAAAAATTAAAATTTTAAAATGTTTAAACTTAGTATGCAGATTTGTTAACCTAATAAAAACTAACATAGGACAGCTTTCCGAATTGAAATTAATGCATTTTTGGCTTAGTTATGTTCGATTTCATGATCCTTTGGGTAACTGCAACTTTGGCTTCTCGAAGTTAACTTTCTTTCCTGTTCCTTGTTAAACTTCAACTAAAATCTATTTTATAGATAAACAAAATACCCTCATATATTCACTATATTAATTTTAGTTTCAAACCCAAAACTTAACTCACTTTACATTTTAAAAATCCCCTTTCTTTTCTACCTGTCATAAACTCCCATAGGTGCTACTACTCTTCCGCTTTTAAGCATCTTTTTTTCAGCTGTATGTGTCGCCCGAAAGTACCCTATGGTTATATGTTGGATGGGGAACTGGGTTAGTCACATATTTGCCAACATTCGCGAACAGAATCTGTAGCTCTGGGAGGGCCAAACGGCAGCTGCTCAAACTGACCCACATGTGAGAGCCGTCATAAAAGCTGGAAGCTATGTTGAAGCCCCGTCAGCGATTCGCGTTAATTAGTTGCCCCACGGACTTTATACGAATATGAAGGCACTCTTCCTCCTGCTCTGGGTCCTGCCCTGGCTTCTCATCTGCAAGTTTCTCTACAGAGTGGAGGATTTCACCGAACCGGATGTGTTTTACAATAGCCTGGATTATCATCCCGAGGATTACATTGATTCTTTTACAGACTATCAGAAGCACGATTACTTTCAGTATTAAGAAATGCAAGTGTTGGTTAAGAATATAAAAAAGTGAAAACTATGGATGAATATCACCTTTAGTCGATATTATTATTAATAATCATCTCGTGGATGGGAAGCTTTAAACAATTATATTATTAAACAAAATGTAAGACTTGTCTGTTGAATAATAAAATAAGATTTACCAGAAAATATATATTTACATCGTTAATGTATTGATATAAATAGATATTTTATTGTCATATATGTGCCAGTTTACCTGTTTTCTAAATAACAAATAAATTAACAAAAATTTTAGAAAATTTTTTAACAGTATATCCTATTGAATAATATTATTATTTATTTATTAAAATTCAAATTTATTTAATTTCTCTTCCATTGTACATTTATTTATCATTTAATAAAAACAAGCCCGAATAGGTTAAGGTCTACCAAATGTGAGTTTGTTTATTTATTTAACAAACAAAATATAATAAAACAGCGGCCGGAATTGTTATAAAAGATATAGCAAAATATATTATACTTTTGGGATATATCTGGTAATTAATAAAATAGTTTTTGCCAATTTGCTAAAACTTAACACTCTAAAGCCTAAACAATTGTTGATTAACAAAGAAAGGAAAATAACTTCGGAAAACCAAAGTTTAAAGTTTGCTATTGAATTATAGAATCTAATTGAAAATCGATCATAGCTTAATTGAAAATATTCACATTAATTGACTCGTTATCTATTAATTTTTTTAATTTTATTATATTATAGCACCAAATCAAATATTCAAAAGCTCATAACTCAGCCAAAAAACATTTATTTTAATTCGGAAAGCTTTCCTGTGCTAGTTTTTGTTAGATTAACAATACTGTATACTCAGTTTAAAATGTAAAAAATGTAATTTTTTATTGTCAATTTTGAAAATGTAACCCCTTAAAAATTTTGAAAAAATTTCAAAAATGTATTTTTCTACAAGACATGGCTAGATCGATTCGACAGATGATCCTGATCAAGAATATATATGATTTAAGGGTCGGAAATGACTGCTTTACATAGTTTTTAGATTCTGACTAAAATAGTAATACCCTGAAAGATATAAAAATATATTTATAGAATTTAGTTTGGCTTTCTTTTAAAGTCTTTTCTTTCTTTCTTTTTTTAAACAACAATTGTGACCAGTAAATGATTTAATTAAAACCCAACAATAATTTCACTTTCATTCAGTGAAACCGTCTGGATTAAAAATACAATTTATAAAAATAGTTAATTAATCAATAAGACCGCACGTAAGCCAATAATCAACGCAATCGAAGTTATTTGAACAGCTTTTAACTTTTTGCAAAGACCAAAGTGGATTTGGTCTGGTATATTTCCGCAAAATAATTGCGAAATGCTAAAATTAAACCTGCACCACAAAAGAGTCTTTGAACAAGTGGAAGAGAAAGTTTGCAAATAAAAAAAAAATTTGCACAGAAATAAACTCACACACAGCCAAATGGCCAAATGTTTAAACAATTGACACAGAAGCAAGACGTATGCAAAAATAATGTCTCAAAGGAGTCAGGTGACCTAGGAAAATAAAAATAAAGATTTGTTGTTTTGTTTTAAGTGCACCTAAATAATTGTTATGGCAATGCTAAATGGAATGCTCCATACATCCTTCGTCTAACCATTTCCTACGATTTTCCCCCTAATAAGGTATATATATATATTGTATTTAAAACATTTTCTATATTTGCCTTAAACTAAGGATAACAACTTTGCTTGGCTTACGATCTAGGAAAGAAAAATAATGGAATGTCATATCATTGTTTTCGGTGTCAGGATCTTCAGGATAAGGAGGAATTGGAATCCGTACTTAGATCAAGTATCTGCGCCTCCGACGGGACTTGGTCGAAGTGTCTCTATGTATCCTACGCCTTACAATTCTTGGCTTAGTTCTTCGGCGTTTAGTCACTCTCTTTGTCTTGGTGGAGGAACTCTTCTGGGTCGTTGTGGTGGCTTCGGTGGTTGTGGTGGTGTCCGAGGAACTGGCTGCGGTTGTGGTGTCGGAGGAACTGGAGGCAGCTGCACTGGTTGTGGCAGAAGCGGATGTTGTGGTGGTGCTGGATGCAGCCCCCGACTGGCGGATAGACAGCATTGCACAAAGGATGGTAGTAAGGAAAAGGACGAGGTAGATCTTCATATTGAGCTACTGGAGCGGATGCTGATCAACTGATGCTCTTCTGGAGTCTTTTGTGGAGTTTTTATACTGACTTTCGACCTAGATTTGAGTCATGTCCCGGAGAGTTTTGCTTGCAGAATTGCAAATTGGGTCAGCAGCTTGCAGAAAAGCAAAGAATCTAAACGGGGTTTTTGACAAATAAGAAATTCGCAATAGTTGTGGTTTGCGCAATTGTTTAAATACTTGGTTAGTTTCGCCAATTACCAACTCAACTTTTGTCTAGGAATTTTGCGACCAAGTCCCTGCCGGAGGTTCAGATATTTGATCTAAGTACGGATTCCGATTCTGGAAAGTCACCTCTTTATATAGATGATCCTGACACTGAACCAATGATTCCCAAGATTCTATTAATTTATTCCTAGTTTATTAACATAGTTAAGTTTTTATCCTAAGTGTTGGACAAATATAAAAAATTCTTAAAAGAAAAACAGTCTCGAGGGAATTCTTAGGGGAAGTAAAAATAAAGCCTTAAATACTAATTATTAAATTAAAATTGAAAAGAAAAATGTAAGACTCTTAACTTGAACATTCTATAACAGTAAAATATATAGAAGAAATTAATCTATAGTCTGTGACTTCCTGTAAGAATGAAGATGATTTTCCGAAATTTGTCAAATAGATTTAAAAGCTACGTTTTTTGGAAGTGTGCTCATGTCCTTTTTTTGCAATTGTTCAAATAATTAGTACTTAAGTTGTCAGACCAGGTTTTGGCTCATTTTATATCTTAGTAAATACGCACATAATTTAAATAATTATGTTTAAAAAAAATACAAATTTAATTCCTATCGGTATAGAGTTTTTATGAACTTTTGATAATGAAGTTATGGTATTTATAATAAAGTTAATATTATTATTATTATGAGAATTACTTATTATTCATCTTGAATGTAAATAAATATAACAGCTATTAAATATTAAAGAGAAAAAAAAAATAGTATGTGAGATAGTTACAATTCATGTTTTAGTTTTATTAAGCGGAATACAACAAAATAACTACCTAACACCAAAATTGCCAAAAAAAAAGTAAAAAACAAGATAATAACAAATACACAACAAAGAAAAGGTAGAAAAAATCAGCAGCTTTTCTTATGCGTCGTTTGTATTTATACGCGTATCTTTGGCAGCTGCAAATCAGCTCTAGTTTTCGTATAAATATGGCTTAGATTCCATGGATTTGGTATCAGTTGTCAATTAGCCAACCATCCATCAACATGCGCTACACCTGCCTTCTGCTCCTTTTGGCCACCATCGGTTGTCTGCTGATTGGTGACGGTTCTGCCACCGGCACCGCCACCACCACCACCACTGAGGCGGCCACCACAACCACAGCTGCGGCTAGTACCACCACCACATCGGCCTCGGCCACCACAACCACCACAGCGTCATCATCATCATCATCTGGCAAGAAGGTAATACACAGGAGGAGGAAGATCGTCAGAAATAGGCCAGCCGTGAGGAGGAGGATCCACAGGAGGCGTTCCAACTCGACTTCCAGCACCACAAGGAGCACCCGATCCCGCAGGAATCGTCGTCTGCGCCGCCTCAGCCTTTAAAAAAATCTGGCATTTACTTTAATCTGATCCTGATCCTTGACCTGACGAAACCCCAAATGAAAACTACCTAAATTCTTTTTTTTATAAGTTTAGTTGCCTTTGTAGGTAAATTTTTAATGCAAATATAAATATCGATATTAAAATTATATCTTTTTCTTTGGGGGAAGAACATATAACACATATAAAAGTAGAGTTTATCAAACTCTAAAAGTTGGGCAATCAAAATTTTGATTTGGAAATATTTTTATTTAGGATTAGGAATGCTTAAATAATATTTGTAATATTTAAAATTTATTTACTTAATATTACATGTTCCCCTTCCATTTATATATATTATTTTTAAACTCTATCTAATGCTTCAAAACTTGCACCTTAAAAATGAGTTTCCCCTGAATACTCTCATATAATATTTAAATTACACTTTATTTTTCATACACAAATAAAAAACAACAACAAAAGAGAAACATAAACCTGTAAACCTGTATAATTCAAATCCATAAACAAGATCACAAGTGAGAAAACTCAATTTTCAACCTGATCAAAGGGTAAAAAGGTACACGAAATCAGTGTTTTGCCCCTTCAACTCATAAGATATTCAAAATGCAGACAGGCATTAAATATTTATTTGGCAATGCCTTTGAGCCAACTGAAAGTCGAGTTTCGCCTCCATTGAAACCCATTAGCGTAAAAACCGAACTCGTCAAAAACCCGCAAAAGCAAAAGCCCCAAAGGCGCACCTCCCATGGAAATGAGCGAAAAGTTTTCAACCAAAAAACAAAAAAAATGGAGGGGGAAAAGCGGTTGCCATAGATACCACACACATACACATGTGTGTGTGTAATGGAAAATGTTACTAAAACAAAAAAATAAATAGAGGAAAACTAAAATGACAACAACGTTTTTCATAACAAAAGACGCGTTGTTAGGTGCCTTGAATAACCGCTGAGAAACAACTTAACACGACTTCAAATTGTTGAAATTCAATTGGCAAAAATTTAGCATAGTTTTTGGGGCGGCATTAGAGGGAGCCCTGAGGTATGCAACCAAAAATTGTCACCTATTAAACACCAAGCAACAAAAAGGGGTAACTTTGAGGAGGCTTTTCTTTAAATTAACTTTAAAATAAATTTTGAATTTAATTTAAAGAAATTAAAGCTAAGCTATATAAACACCTGTTTTCCCACAATTTTCTGTTATTAATTGTTTAGTTTAGTTTATCAATTTATTGCACAAAATTATAATTATTAATTATTATTATGAGCACAAAATATTCAATTCCATTTCAAATATAAAACCTAATAAATTTTGGTTTCAAGTTTCTGCCTCTCCGACTGTCATTTGTTTTTCTTTTTTGATACTGCATTTTTATAGTTCTTCAATAAAATCAAATCGACATAAATAAAGGAATATAAAAATAAATATAAAAATGTGTGGAATTGCAGGCAATCAAATTCCTACTTCAATTGGGGCAAATCGAAGACAATTTAATGCAAAACAAAAAATTGCCTTAATAATTTTTTTTTTTGCTTAGCAAAACGAGTGCTTGTTTTATTTAATATTATTTTTTTGCTCACCCAATCCACTTGATAGAGCCATAAAGCACACACACACTCTATACGCTCATATATGTTATTGATTTTTATTGAGACATTTGCAAAATTAATGTCTATGATGCGGGCTGGAAGCTCAACTCCCAGCTCCACTTGTCGAATGATGAGCGGCATTAATAAATCAATAGCGTTTTGATGGCAAATAATTCGAGAGCAGCTCCGGGGATGCAGCCATACGCACTGGGGACTCCCCACATCCTTTTGGCCACATCCTGGGATGCGTGAGTGTGTGCGTGTGCTTGTATCCTTCTGATAAGGAACTTTCCAATGGCCAAGAGCTGTACACAGCTAAACTATAGGGGATTTCTTAGGTATTTATATTTAATTTAATTTTCTGAAATGTTTTAAAATTGATAACAAACTGAAAATTGTTTTTAGAAGTCTCTGCATATTTTAAAATTTAATTTTAAAAATATTTAATACTTAAGTGTAAGAGCAATATAGCTTTTATATGTCAGTGTGACCTTGACTCTTATTTTCTTTACTGTAAGTGTGACCCTAATCAATATGTCCTTCAGTGTCGTCCTGCTGAACATTTTTCTTTAATTAATTCTTAAATAATTTAATTATTTAATATTACTTATTAATATTTTCGAATTAACACATTTTTTTCAAGAACTTATATATATTTTATTTAAGAATTATTCAATACTGAAAATATGATTATGTTTTCTATATATCAGTGGGACATTTACTACTATTTTCTTGCAGTGTGCCCCTGCTGCTGCATCGAGAGTTGACCCTGCCAACCCGTGTCGAGTTATTTTATTGATTGATGCCAGTAACAAAAAAAAAAAAAACAAAACCAAAAAAAAAAGGAAAACAAAATGACAAAAAAAACCAAAACAAAAACAAACAAGCGAATGCCATTAATTTTGTTCGAAGTCTCTTACAATGGATCAAATGAAAACAGCGACTTGTTGTGAAAGCAACTCCGATACAGGGATGAGGTTTGGTATGAGGAAGTCCAAAGGACATCACTGACCTGATTTTCTCCTCCCAAAAAAAAAAAAAAATGTGAGACCGTTTTCAATGAAATTAATGAACGAAGATATGACTTAGTTCTGGACTTTGGTTCAGTGCTTTGAGATTTATGTATTTATTTCAGCTCAATTGGTAAGCAAACATTTTGTTGCCATGACTTTTGCTCGAAACAAGGTTAAAGATTAATGCTTTTAGAAATTTATTTGTATTTATTTATTTATAAACAACTAGCAAAATACCTTAAAATTTAATCAATTAATTCTTTCTTAGAAGCTAAAGTAGTTAAGTTTAATTTCTTGTTACACACTTATAGCTCTTGCTTTGTTGGCTTTTGCCACTTGCCTTGATCTTATTGAAGTAAAAAGTTAAAGTAAATTAGCCTCAAGGCTGAGAAAGTTAAAGTTCCTGCGGCTTAATTAAGTCAGTAGACCGGCAAGGCTTTTCTTTTGAATCGAATTTAACGTTTAAGAGGCACTTTCCCCCCCCAACAACAGCAACTGCTTTTCATGTAAATTTTCCTTTAGTTTGGCCCGCATTTGTTTTGGGCCAATTAAATACGCAAATACGTAAATGAAAAGCCACACCATCAACCATATGGTATGCATGTGTGTGTGTGGGAACGCATTTTGATTTATCCTGGCAGCGACAGGATGCTCGCAGTCGATTTTCCAAGCAGCCGCAAGGATGCTGAGACCGCCCATAGAGCCGGCGGCTGCTGGCCGCTGCTGTTACTTTGGCGCCTAATGAGCAATTTAATTATGCACGTTGATTGATTGATGCTAATTGATGGAAAGCCAGTCACCACAGTAGCAGCAGCAGCAGCAGCAGCAGCAGCAACCGCAGCTAGTAGGTAGGCCGTGATTGAGTCAAAGAAAATTGGCCAAAAGTCGGACAGGAAGCGGAAAACTTTAACTTAACTTCACTTTGCTCACACAAAAGTCTTAACAGAGGAGAAGTGCTCACCATTTTCCATTTGGCCATGTTTGCACTTCCGTTTTTCTCCCGGGGAAAAAGGAAAGGAAAAACTGCGCTCGAGCGGAACAATTACTAAAAGCGCTTTGCCGCTTGGCATAAATTTGCACAACAAAATAAAAATAAAGAAAGAATAATGCACCCGCTGCAGCAGCAGCTGAATAGTTAAATATTTACTACAAAGTTTGTATATTTCACCCAAAAATTATAACAATTTTAAAATGTTAAAGTACAAAGTTAAGGTCTTTAAGTGAGGAGGAAAATAACAAGACTGGTCTTGAATTCCCAAACAATTAGAAACCATATGTTGCAAATTTCTTTATTTTATACAATAAAGACTGTTGGTTAAGCACAAAAAAACCTATTTTTCAGACAAAGGTTAAATTAAAGGTTAAGCTCTAGCCTGGATTTTTCTTTTCTCTTTTTATATACCTTTTTGTTTTCTTTTTGTTATAATTTCTTAACAAAGTTCATGTTCAATGGCACAGAAATAAAAAATAGAAATGGCAACAAAGCTACTGGCAAATATTTGCTGATTTTCAGACACTCACAAAGCACACACAGACTTGTGATCAATGGAATTGGTGATGCGGCTGTCAAATCGATGAATGAAGATTCCCCTCCAGACCAAATATATAATCAAGCAAATAGTGCCGAGAAGAATAGTAATACTACATAGTATGTGACTTTGTGTTTGTTTTAAAATTTTTGAGAGTTTCGCGTTTCGCAAATAGTTGACATTTGTGCAAATATGTCTCGAACGACTTGTTCTGTTTCTTTGTATTATACATTTTTTTCGCAACTCGAGATGTTGTTTAACTAATCGTGTTTTGCTGGCGCCATTGTTTCATCTCAATGACGCAAAGAATCGGCCTATAAATGGGCGATCCAGCAGCCGAAAATGACAGAGAAGTGCCACACTTCAAACTCTTCAAAAAAAAAAAACATCATTAAGATGAAGCTTCACTGGCTGCTCTTGGCCGTTGTCCTGATCTGTGCCTTTAGCTACTCGCAGAGTACTGGCACTGGCACCACCACCTCTGAATCGTCCACTGGCTCCACCACCGCTGCCGATAGCACCGGTAGCACCACCAGCACCACCGCATCACCGTCTTCCTCCTCGTCGGCTACTACAGCGGCTAGCACCAGCAGCAGCGACAGTGCCACCTCAGCCAGTAGCTCCAGTAGCTCCAGCAGCTCCTCCAGGAGGAGCACTGCGGCCAGGAGAAGGGCCAGGAGGAGGAGGGCCGCCGCCCGCAGGAGGCGTGCTGCCAGAAGGAGGGCTGCCCGCAGGCGTAACAGGGGTTAGGTCACAAGGAACAGGACCTAAAGTCAACTGATCCGAAGAAGAGACAATTTTTTTTTTCCCCCCTATCTATCCTCGAGGATTATTATATGAAAAACTAAATATATAACCCGGCTATGGTATAAAATTGCATACACATAATACTGATTGTTTTAATGTTTAATACAAAACATTGTAACATTTTTAGCTTGAAGGATAAGAAACTACTCTACAAGGCTCAAGATTTTAGTTCATCCCAGGAAACAACACTTTCTAATACAACTTTACGAACCTTGTCACAGTTAAAACATAAATATAAATAATTACTAATTTAAAGAATTTGAAAACTGATTTTACCCAAAGTAATCTCCCCTTTTCCAGACCATATGGCAGGACTTCTTCAAGGACCTTGGTCTTGAAATATTTCTCAACGTAAATTTCAGAACGAGAGTTCTGTGGAAGAAAGGAACAGGACAGTGAATTTAATGGCGTATTTGGAGTGCACTGAATCGGTTAGCTTGATTACTCGTTGGCCTCGTCTCTCGTACATTGTTGTTTTGCTCCAAGGGTGAAAGGTTAAAGTTGCCACCAAGCCAAGACACACACACACACTCAGACACAACACAATTACACACAGCAATGTACTCATATATGAGCTGCAATAAAAAGCAACAAGTTGAAAGACCACGCAAGCAAAAAAGAAAGCAACAACCATCAAGGTCCCCCCATTTTCATTTCCATCCTGAGAACCCATTCCCAATTCTGAATCCGAAGTCCTCGGCCGCCGTCGAAGCAAAAACCCAAAACCCATCAGCAATTCGAGCACATAAAAATGGTTATAGCCCAAGAATTGAGGGCTCCCATTACAATAACAAGCGGAGTTTGGTGAATACTCTTTCAGAACCGTGAGTAGAAAGGCTTTATTTTTATATTTTAATATCACAAAAATTTTAATATAAATAAAAAGAATTTGTGAATCATTAGTAACATTGTTAGAATTTATGAAAACAAAAGAAAATCCAAAAAAGGTTAAATTAAATAGGAAAATTTAATGATATTACATCCATCATTGTTGAAATGTTGTTGAAAAAACCAAGATCAAAAGTTCTTTAGCGGTATTTATATTGAACTCAACGATTGTGATGTGTCTTAATATATTAAAATATTTATGTGATACCATATATAAGTACTAAATAATAATAATAATATTATGATATTGTTGTTGTTGAAAGATTGTTGAAAACGGTTGTGAATAGCTTGCCATTTTTTTCTAAGAAGTCCTAGAGCTATTTAAATTGATTTAAGGAACTCTAAGATAATCAAAATATATATCTCATTTCAACTGAACCATAAAATGTGGTGTCTTCAGAAGAAAGGGTGTTGGAATGGAAAACAATAACAAGCAGCAAACAGCACTGCAAACGCAATACAATGGGCACAACTGTTGCTGTTGTTGTTCCACTTTCCCTCTCTCTCCCACTTTGCCTTCTGCACCTTCATCTTTTTCTTCTCCTACTTCTTCTTGTTCTTGCTTCTTCCCCCTTCCCCATATCCTCTTCCCTTCCCTTCTTGTGCACTTCCTCATTTTCTGGCATTGCAAACAAATGACAGGCGCGATTCTCAAATGAAAGCAACACCATAACAAGAGAGGGAGAAAGCTATGATGAGAGAGAGACAGAGAGAGTGAAGCGTCAGAGGGCAAGTGAAAGAGACAGCGGATGCGTGAAAGTGACATTCGTCTTCAGACAAAGAAAGCAGCTGTAGAAAGAGATGGCAAAAGGAAGAATCAGCAACAGAATTCAGCAAAACAAAGGGCATACTCATATGTATGTATGTACTTCATGTGTGCAAAAAACAGGGTAAACATAGTCAGAAAATTTTTAATTATTTAAATAAATTAAATATAATTTAAAATACATATATATTTTTATTTTAGTACAGTCACTACCCTTTGGAATCAATGTCACCTTACTTGGGTTTAAATTTCTAAGCATATTTTCAATATTTTTCAATATCTCAACCCGACAGGTTGTCAGCAAAAAATTAACAAAAGGCAAGTATTTGTATATCCTCTAATTGTTTGTTTATTTTAACCAAAATCTATATTTTCCATAGCTTAAGCAGTCTCCAGACTAGTGAAGTTGCACAAAATCGTATATTTGGGAAATATGGTACTTTCTGAGGAAACCAAGGAACGTCTGAGAGTTGTGCTCAATGCGATGGAGACCACAGTCGCCTGGGGATTCATACCTTTCGTCCTTTTCTTGGGCTTCAGAAGGGGAGCTGATCCCGATATGCCACCTCTGACCATTTTGAATCTATTATGGCAGTAAGATGATGACAAACAATGCATCCTGACCGAAAACTAATGTGAAATTCAGAATGTGAAATCCATATGTTGGCTATGATTGGATTGTTGGATAGAAAATACACTTTTGTAATAAGAAGAACTCTTATTTATAGTTGGTTTTTGGTGGTTTAAATATTTTCCTAGAAGAACTAACCTTTTCTTTATTAGTTACTGCCTGCTTGCAAATTCCTTAGTTGAGAATTCTAGTGTTAGACACATGCTTTGTTGAAACTGTACCTTGCTTTAAAAAACACTTATTCTTGAAAGTAACAATCCAAACTGATCATAAATATAGATATTTCCCTCTCATAGTTCTTTACCTATAAGATATATACAAAATAGTTTATTCTTTGAGCTACTATCAAAAACCAAAACCCCCAAGGACACCCTGTATTTATGTATATTGATATGCTGCGCTTTGTGGCCATTGATGTTGATATGCTCGACGTGACTTATATTATGTATACGCACCGTTACACAAATAAATGTTTTTCGCCCATACGCCACCCACCACAAATGGGCAACAGAAAGAGATGGATATAGGCGTGAAGAAAGAGAGAGGCATACAATTACGCCTTGTTCTTGTTAGTTCCCTCGTGTTGTGTTTTTATGTCGACCTGTGGTACTCTCTACGCTCTTATTATTGTTATTTTTATGACGCCCAATTCTTTGGAAATTTCAGCTTACTGCCTATTATTTTGCAAATACCAAAAAAGAAAGAGACAGAGAGAGAGAGAGAAGAAAAACAAGAATTTGAAAACACTATAAGCTCCTTGGATATGTTGGATCATTTTTATATTCTTCAGTTTGTCGTGTTCTCGTTTTGTATTCCACTTGGTTTTTCCTCTTTTTCCCTTCATATTTTTTGGCTGACACACAATGGCTGCCAGCTGTGAGGCTTAAATTTGAGAGTTGACGAGTGACAAGTGTCTTAGTGAGGGGAAAAACAGCAAAAAAAAAAAAAATACAAGTGAAAAAGGGGGGCTTAAATCAACAAGTGTGTGGATGGGACAGATAAATCCAAAAACCCACTGAATATTTCAGCAGTTTCTTTTTATTATCAAAATAACTGGAATTTCAGTTGGTTATTTAATCAAGAGTTTAAAGCGAAAAGTTTTCGATGTATAAAATACCAATTAATAAATTTTTAAATACTTGTACTAGAGGTTTATAATGTGTAAGAATTGTTATTTAAATAGCTAGCTTTATTTAAGTGGAAGTACTTAAAGTTTAATATATAAATTTGATAACTAGATCCATAAATAATTCTTTCATTATCAGTTTCTAATTTTGTTCCCCCTTTCTTTAAAGCACCTTTTTTAGGGCTTAAAAAACACTTCATATCAAAAGTATTTATAATTTTAATTATATTATAATGCCAGTACTTAGGAATGTATTTATTGCACTCACAGCAGTCCAAAATTATTTATAAGTTCATTAATTAACCAAAATCTCCTGATTAAAAATCGATTAACATTTCCAAACGTTTCTCAAGGGCACAGATAGTGACTCCGATTAAAGTTGGTATCAAGTCAAGTTCAAGAACAAGTTATATTGCCTTTAAGCCTGAAGCTATGTCAAGTTCTGGCTAATAAAACCTCCCTTTTTCCCTCCTCCTGCAAGAAACAATTAGTTTAGACCTCGTCCTTTTGGCCAAATTGCCTTGCCTAATTTGTTTTTTTTCTTCTGGCTCGCCTTCCGAATTCGTATGCAAAGAGCGCATAAATTTAATCAGTTAGTCGAATGTTGTTTTCCTCATTTTTGCCTCTCCATTTTCTTCTTCTCTATCACTTTTCTCTACTTTTCTATTTTTTTCGCTTCTTTTTTTTCCTTAAGCTTAAGGGGGCGTTTTGTGGTGGGCGTGGACGGGGTCGTAGGTGTGGCCAAGGTCCTGCGTGTTGGCCAAGACACAGAGAGCTGACACACCAACATGACATCGGGTCTTTGGGCACTGAGAGGAAAATATTAACTGTAGGAAATATAAACTAAATGAAAAAAATATATATTTAAAAATTTTGTAAAAGCCGAAGAGTTTATTAAAATTTTTGGAGTATGTAGTTTTGATTTATTTTTGAGGCTTGAAAAAAATCTGGTATTAAAATAATTTAAAAATACATTCGTATTTAAATATTAAACCATTTTTGGGTACTATTTTAACGACTTTTTTTATAGTTCTTGTAAAATAACATTCTGTTTCTTCCCGAGTTACTTACATAGGATAAAATCAGAAAACAATTTCATAATGATTCTTTTCCTATTTATATTATTTTCTCTCAGTGTACTATATCCTAGAACCCGCATGTTTTATATGTGTGAACACAAGCAGGCAAATGGACAAATAGACAGACATCTAAAACAGACAGGCGGAATGAGACAGGCAGGCAGGACATAGAAGGAAATGGGGTATAGAGAATAGATGGAAAGCCATAGGAAAAATCACCATTTGCCCTGCTTTTCCTGCTTCCTCTACATTTTTAGGCTAGTTTACAAGGATTTTCAAGAATGCTGTATACCTTTTAGAGGTTATTTTGAATATACTTAATATATGAATTAGAAATAATATTTTTTAAGGGATTTCAAAGTATTCTTTTTCCATAATTTCCATAATTTGTTTGTGATTTTTTTGCCTGCAAATATAATGCTTACTGACTTTTCCCAGGGTACTTAACCTTCC